GGTGTTTGTGTTTGTTTGTTTGTTTTGAGGGGGGGGGGGTAATCCCCTCTTGTTTGTTTTTTTCCTTGGTTTTCCCCAACAACAAGGTGGGAAATAGAAGAACAAACCCAAGCAACATGAGCTCAGAGTTTTGTAGTTAACCTGTGACCAGCCTGACAGCCACCTGGAAGGCAGTGTAACCAGTGTGGTGCAGCAGGCCAGGGCAGAACAACTTTCACATMGGGAACTGTCACCCTAAAAGCATTTATGCTTCAAGATTTTTTAAATAGCTGATTTATTGTGGTGACATTGAAGTAATCTAACTCAAGTTTTTCTTTACAAATGTCTCATCTTTATGAATACAGTTAGATTTTCAGACCTGTGCCAGAAGGAAGTGTTTTTAGGTCAGTGAAGAGGTAAACCAATAGCAGGGATCTCATAATGRTAGCTCTTCCTGTTACATTGACATCATTGTGGCTTATTAGGAGGAGCTATCCTAGCAATTCACATTTAAGACTATGGAATAAATCCAAGTAATTGCATTTTGATGTTGCTCAAGAGCAATGACATAAGAGTGTCACTAATTGAAGGACTAAATTATCCTTCAAGTTTCTTGCAGAGTGGTGTAAAAGGAAACAAAGTTTTCTAATTACAATTTGTAGAAAACTGAAATTAAATGAACACAGGTCTTGTGCTGCATTTGAATTTCAGACAGATATTTCATTAAAAAGTATGTTTCCCTGTACATTGAAAGCAGGGTACAGAAAGAATCATCCATTTAATTTAAGATTATGCCTCCTGAACTCTATAGTTTTCAACTGCTTAGCCTTTGTAAGTCTTCAGTTAAAGCTACACCAAGGGTAGTTTTAAACTGCTACCATCTTACTAAACTAGACTGTGGAATAACTGAAAAAACCCTAGTATGCTACATAAGCAATCTTCTAGTTTATTCTCRATGGTTTAGTTTAAATATAAAAATATGAGCTTGCATAAACATTCAACAGGCAAGCCAGTGCCTGAAAATACAAAATAAGACAACCCACTGTCTTGGGCTGTGACCCAATAGAGTACAGCAACACACTAAATTATTCAGATCCTTGGAATAGTGTCTCACAGTTTCCATTCCCATTGGGAGTGTTACTGACAAGTAAAACAACTTGCACCAACACACAAGTCAGGTCTTGCCTATGTTTCTGGAGTATTCTTCTTACAACTTTAGAACAGCACTCATTCAGACTCTGTAAACTAAAGAACAAAAATGCATAACTCCTAACATTTAAAAAAAATATTAGCTTAGCACATGTACATTTTAGGCAAATTAATTTGAATCTAAAGAATTCAAAGGACTATTTCTTTTTTGTAGAGAAATTCTGTATACCTCAAAAGAACACAATGCTACACATTGAGTACCTTGCATTAAGTGGGTGGGAGCCCTAGACAAAGGCAAAGGACTGGTCCCTCTGCCATCCCACATCAGGTTGATGCCTTCAATCAGGCTCATCTGAAACAGAGGCCAGATAAACTTAACAGAATGAGAATAGACAACTTTAATACAGGTCTAATAGGCCTAATGKTACATTAGGGCAGACAAAAGCCTTGTCCTGAGGCTACACCCAGAATGGACACTGGGTGATGAGATCTTCACTTTTTATAAGTTCTGCCTTATKAACATATTGGGTCTTAATTCTCCARTGATCTTCAGGCCATGATGTCAACCACCCCAGACTTGCTCCCCCCCCCCCCTCAATTCGCTGTTGTTTACATATTTTGGGGTTCTGAGGCAGCGAGGTATCCTTGGATTCAGGCTCAGAGAGTGATTGTTTTGTCTAAAGATGGGAGAATGGTAGTTTTAGYGTTGTACTAGAGAACTACAAGAGTACAGATGCATGAAAATATAGAAATTAAAAATCCTAAAGCATCAAGGTCACCTGCACAGCTAGTGAGGGCTAACCCCAACACAACCCTCAGCATCTGCCTCCAGCACCGGCAGATGATAAAAAATCATCATATCTAAGGTGGGACAAGGTGTGACAGTATAATCAGTTTGAACATTCAGATATGTACAGCAGTCTATGAAAATGACTGAGAAAGGAAAGATGTAAATGGGAAGTGATAAATTCTGTAAAGATCAAGCAGAATTATYCAAATGGCTTTTAATTCCAGAAAACAAGTCTAGGAGCTCTTGTTGACAGTGTTTTTGAGTATCAAGTGATCATGAGRCCAGAACTTTAGCTGTAACTTTCTCCAGAGATTAGCACAGCAAGGAACACTGCACGTACAATTACTACATTAAATCACATATCCATAATCCCTCAGAGGGGAGCTTGTCCTTGCATCAGCTCCCAGAATACAACCTTTAAACAGCTTTGCAGCTTTTTAATTCAACTGTTATTATGACCGTAYTCTGAATTTTTAAAAAAAGGCCAAAAAACCATCTCCAAAACTTCATGCCCTGAGAAGTATTTAAGACTGCTTCAAATTCCACAGGTGCCTCTGCCTTTCCTCATACCTGAACACACGCTCTGCTTGGCAGGAGAGCAGGAAGCAACAGAAACATTTGTATCAGTCACTGAGAATCTCTTTTTCTTCCCAGATTTGTTTTTTCAGTCCCTGAAGATCCTAACCTAGACCTTTGCGGAGCCAAATTCTTGCATTGTGTCACCAACTTTCAGCTGCACAGGGTTCCTACTTGACTGAAAGAAGGAAACTATCTCAACCCAAAAGCAATACTCCTGCTTTTACATTTTTATTTTAGTAAAGTATTTAAGGCATTTGGAAAATTTGCTTTTCAGAACAGAAGGAAAGTAACGTACACATGCTGGGAATCACTCAGTGTGGAACACCACCTACTCCCTGTGTGTTATCACAGTCACACTAAGCCTCAAGGAAGATCATTTTATATTAGGACTGTGGGTAGGTACATATTCAGAAGTCAGAMACCATTTATTTTCCAGACATTTTATCATGTTAGTAGACTTGGCCAGTGAAGGCCAAGGGAAGGGAAATTCTAACAGTCTCATGTAAAACTGAGGAAATTACTAGATAGGAATGCAAATTATTTSTCTGTATGTCATACAAAAGCTGCAACAAATCCTCAGATCCTCCTAAATCCAGTCTACTTTTCTAAATGCATGAGCAGCTGCCTCTTCCTCATTTTCTTTTCTATTGAGACATCCTACCAAAATGGGACACAGAAATCAAATGACAAAAACAGACTTTCTGACATCAGATTACAAAAGAAAAGTGTATACTTTTCCCAGTTGGTACTGGAATTGCAGCAGAAAGAACCTATGACAATTTATCACTAGAAATTACACAGAGGTTTCTTATTTTCACTACTTGTCTAGATAGAGATGAGACAACATGAACATCACCTAATATTTGTAAGAAATGGACAGCCCATTTTCACACACCCACTCTCTTTAAGTTGCAAGGCAAACCATKAATTACTTCTACATCTGACACAATACTGGAGGAATTGCTCCCAACARAATAAAATAAGGTGTAAAATGCTTGAGGGGAAGGGAGAGGAAAAGAACAGAATACCTGAGGTTTTTAAACACAGTATATCTTAATACTTTGAGGTTCTTAAGGCCACAGTACCCTTGCATAAAATCCAGTGGAAATTRTATCAGCAAACACAGTATCATACTGATTTTCTAACTGTCACAAAAGTAACTATGCAAAACAATGTAGCTAAGTGACAATCCATGCATTATTTCATAGTAAACAACAGGATACCAACCAATGAAATAAGTTATCATAATTTTTAACAGTGAACAAATATTAACCTTTAATAAACAAATAAACATTTAATTAAAGTCTTCCTACACTAAGTCAGAATAGGTATCTTCGGTATAAACACAGCACAAAACAGCATTAGCTTTAAAGACAAAATATATCTTCAGGTGGTTCTTTGAGGGTTATGGTTGAGTGCTAGCTGACAGTTCTGAAAAGCAAGAGTAGTAGACCTAATATTTTCATKAATACTTTTAAAGGTAGCTCACAATAAAAAAAATGGGAGCTAAATCCTGACTTAAATTCAGCTTTGTGACCACTGATAAAAACAATCACTACTACACATGCAATAGCTATCCACATCAACTATCTTATTCAGATTGGTTATTGCATTTCTACTTCCCAGAAAWTCTCTTTCTTAATATGTTTTGTCACAGACAAAGCTATACTTAGCAACTGAGGGCCTGGGAAGGGCTGGAAACCATAAATATTCTGTTCTAGAAAATTACAGGTTCTACTCCCATAAGGTCATACTAAGCTAACATAGTAAGATCCACTACCATAAGATAATTCACAACACTCAAAAAAATTATTTATGAAAGCCTCTTGMTTCCCTAGCTTAAATAAGTATGAAGAAACACTCCAAATATACTGATTAACCACGACTTTCCAAACACATTTGTAGACAAGATATGATAACTGGCTGCGCTTTATTGTCTGGGGGTTTTCCTTTGTTTTTTAAATACAGGAAGTGATTTCTCTCTATTCTGATTTTGCCTGGTTGTGAAAAAGTGYAGTTCTCTCTTGAGAAGATAAATACTCAGGAACAGAAAGTGCTCACCTTCTGGGCAGCACGCACAGTCTGCTCTCTTTGGCTTTCCACTGCTGCACATTGCTCTGCCTTCTGCAACGTTGCGGAACATACTTCAAAATCTGTGTGTCCCAAATCCTGCAGATATTGGTAGAGCGGGGAATTCTGAAAAGGGAGTTAGAAAAGGAAAATGAGAAAAAACCCAAAGTTAAAAATCATTGTGTGTTTCCTGCAAAACACCACTGTGAATTCAGCAACCACACAACCAGCATTGAATAGATTGAGAAATGGAAAAAAAAGAGAAAAAGGCTTCTGCTGTCTCCAAAAATGGTACTAGTATTCTGGCTTAAAAAAAAAAAAAAAAAAAAAAAAAACCAAAACAAAAAACTAAAAATCCCACAACACACAAACAAAAAAAAACCCACTAACTTTTTTAAGCTGCAGGCAATACAACAAATTTATGAACAGTCCTTAAAAAAGAAAAATTATGGAATTCTGATCACCAGAGAATGGTGATATGTAGAATGATTAGATATTTATCTATACAGACCTCTAAAATTTCTTCTTGTCATCTGCACCATGCATCTAGATTTACTTAACTTTTATTTTTCTGCTCATAACTAGATATATGGCAGTATCTAGGACAGATTTGATGAAAACAATACCTAGGATAACTACAGTTCTACTCAGGACATGTAAACAGACTTCGTTTTTAAGAGAAACTCTCAGCAATCAGTCTGATATAGTCTAGTTAGACAGGGATTAATTCTGACCCCTAAAAAATTTTATTAAGAAGAGTATGCAAACACTAGCAAACTGCATAGGAAGAACACCAACATCTTAAGAATTTAATGTACTATCAACCAAAACGCTGCATATAAAAAGTAAAAACTTTACAGTAAATAATGCACAGTTGTGGAGGTTTGCAGAAATAACTGCCAACAGAACACTGCTACTAGTGTTACATCAACTCTCATAAACTTGCTGGTGCAAGTTGTGAAGGGGCCCACCTACTCTGACCATATACCAATACAGCCAAATCTCAAATGACTGCTTGCCACACAATAAAACTTGGACGCCATCATTCATACCAGCTGAACAAATTAACTTGTTACCTTTAGCAATTTTGTTAACCCGATCATCAAAGTGCCATTTTAATTCCTCTTACCTATTTAAAGCATGCAAAATCATATTTCTGTTTCCTGTGTTTGAGTTACAATAGATTCAGCATCCAGTCATTACCTGAAACTTAAATATTCATACTAACTCACAGGTACARACATTCACACTAATTTACAATGACAATGATTGTGCAAAACACTAGGATAGGTTGACGACTCATTTCCTTGTGAGAATTTTCCCAGTGTGATGACACAGTCCTATGCTTTACCAAGTACCCTTCTTCCATGGTTGAGTACTTTTTCAAAATGAATCCAGCTCTAATTAAACTATGCTGTTCTGGACTGTTTCTCTCTAAGTAGAACATGCTATTTTACCAGAATCCCTTAATTAAAATGGAAGAGAAAACATAATCAACTAGAATACTTGTCTTAAGAATAGTTAAGTCTTAAGAATACTTTAGACACTGTTAAATTCACCTAATAACTTCAGGATAAAACTCAGAATATGCATAACATTGTCTTCTTAAAATGGTTTTCATACAAAGCCAGGCTGTGCACTGCCAACACACCTGGAACAAGTGAACACCTCCATACCAGAACCTTTAGGATAGCATGGAATTTTCCCCATTTAGGTGAAGACTTAGACAAAGCAGGGGGTGAACAGAGAATGTTTTCTTCAAAAGCCATAGTTTTAAGGCTCGCTCCAGGTAGAACTTCAAAGAAATCATATCTAGGCCTTGGCAAACCTGACCTCATCTTGACCATATTTGCCATGAGCAAGGCCAGCTATCATGTGACACAAGACCATGCTTGTACTTTGTTGGTACTCACCGACATACAGACAGCTGGCAAAAGAACCCAAAAATACCAATGAGTTTTACTACTAGTATCTCAGGGTGCACCTTTCTTTGAGGTCCRTGATGAGATAATTTTTTTAAAGCTGTTCAAGAAAACTGGTCTATTGCGGTTTAGATAGGTTCCATTTCCTCACAAAAATGGATAAAGGAAGGCAGAACAAGAGGTAGAGGCAGACAGTGTCCACTGAAGACTGGATTATCTAAAATCCTGAAAGCTATCACTAGTAAGTGAAAAATGGCATAGATGTAAGAATGCCCAATTCTTTTTTACTGGTTACCTATCTAAGTCACAACTTTCTATCTAACTGTAATTCATAGATTTTCTACTCTACAGAAACAGTAAAAAATACACCATCTCTCATAATGTTAACAGAAATTTCAGCTCCTAACTATAAAGAATACTTTTACTTGTTCTGGTAATTTAGGTAGAATATAAGCACCTTACTAGTTTTATATAAATCCCTTCTGACCAACTCTTAGAAAGCTTTTATCTGGCTTCACAATGGGTAAATTTACACTTTCTTAACACTGCTCAGAAATGGAAATCAGTTTTCTGACTATTAGGTTAGGAAATGAAAATTAATTAAAATTTAACTTGAATGTTTATCATCTATTCCTTTGAGTAGATAATGGTTCTCCTCTTTCAGTTTCTCACAAAGTACTCAGGCTACAAAATCCTCCTCCAACAGATTCCTTTGGCTCCACATGCTTTGTCTTTCCCATTCTTCCTAAAATATTATTAGCAGAACTTACTTGCATAAGGGAAAAATCCTGKTTTTTTATAAACTTCAGTGACCAAGAACTATGCGGTGACTAAAATTTCTTTTGTAAGTAAAACCACCATTGTTCCCCTTTCTGAATCTATTAGAAACATGCATGATGTGGATAAAGAAAGCACCGACTAAGAAATGGGTTGAGGCCCTTGTGAAATTAGATTACTAAGAATATTAACCAATTAATGACAAAGTTCTTTCATTAGGAGTTCTTCCTTAAGAGTGAGGTCTCTTGGTAGCACAGGCAGCTTTACATTTTTCTTAGAAAATCTGAATATTACACTCCTATTAGAAATACCACAGATGGCATACATAATTAGTCTATGCTAACATAAACTCACACTATTTATTTATTTACTGTATTTCATTTTCTACTGTCTAATAAGCCTGTTACTTGCAAAGCTGTGTAGTGTATATAACTCATGGTTGCCTATAATCAAAAGAGGAAAAAATGGATGATGTCTCCACCAATCTATAGATAATATCTCCCATGACATATGCAAGTAATGGCTAGAGAATCCATTAAAGCCATTTCTACAAATCGAAAGGTAGGTTCTATGTATGTGGACATTCCCACAAAACTTCCAATATTATCAAGGAGTCAGAAAATTATTAATTATRCAACTACAAAATTGCAATATGATACCATTAAAATATCCTATTTTGTATACTGTGTGTTTCAGTACAAGAGACAGAATTACTACACTTAATGCTTACAAAACATATTTCATCCTCACAAAGCTTCAAAAACAATAATTAAATCTCATACCATGTCTGATGTACCACAAATCATAGATCTGAATTTTTAGCTTAGATCCTTACCCACACCTCTCGCTCCTAAAAGACTTATTTCCCATAAAAAAGATTGCAGATATGCACATATTCTTGCACATGCACTTGTAACTGTGAGAAAAGTTCCCTGGTTTCAACTCATGCTGTTGTTCATCAACACTGTCAGGCTCAGTTGTTTTCACCTGCAAATATCATGGTAATATTAAAAAACATATACTACTTGGTTGGGAAAAATAGGAGGCCTCTGCCTTTTTTCCTCCCAATTTTCTTTGCCCAGAATTCATACATTCATTTTTACAACAGTCCAACATTAAAAAGGAAAAAAAAAAAAGCAAAACAGCTTTTACATTTCTGCATGCTATGCTTTTATTTTAGGAAATTCAGGACACAGTAGAGAGTCTATCCTTGCAAGAAGTAATAGGTTGTAATCTAAAACAAAACAAAACAAAACAAAACAAAAAAACTAGACTTGAGCAAAAGTTTTTATATTAGAATGTTAATGAGGTAAAGGAACAGCAAGTTTGTTTCAATGGATGGCATGAAGAGGGAATTAAAAATATAAAATTTCACCTTCTTATTAATACAGCATATTATTCTAGAGGAATCTATTCCCATATACTTAATGAATTTTACTTTCAACTCTCAACTTAGATAATAACTAGAATCCTTAGTATTACTCCTTTTTGACTGTCAGGTTGATTTGTTTATTTTTAGTTGTTTCTGGCAGAATGACATGGTAATGAATACTGTTGAAAGTAGAGATGGAATTTTTTTTAATAGTTCAGCTTATTATTACATTACCATCATACTAGCAGTTACTGATAGGAAATACTATCTAAAGTAAGATACTATCTAAAATAAGGCTTTACAGCAATATGCTATATTTATTTCTGTAGTTTCCACCGAGATGGTTCTTCTTCTGAGACAACCTAGATATAGGAGACAGGGATTACATTTACAGCCAGGGCATTTAAAAAAAAATATGTTAATTGTCCAAAATGAGTGCTGCAAATTAAACAGCTCCAGAACAGACAGAACATGCCATTCTTTTTTTAGGGCACTTCATAAAGATTATATATGGACAAACTTGTTAACAAGTGAAGAAAGATAGTCAGAAGCAGTTGATCTGAGTAGGAACRTAGTTTTTGAAAGTGTTAAGAATCAGACTCAGCAGAGACCAACAAAAAATCTACTAATCTTTTTATGACTTTTCAATTCACTATAGTTATACCACAAAGTCAATTGTAACCATTTACAGAACAGTATAGGTTTATCTAAGCTCCCATTAACAGAATCAAGAAGGAAAATCCTTTCCTCCTCATCTACAACTCCCTGAGTGTATTTATTTTAGATCCATATGGCTAAAAATTATTTCACTCCCATATCTATGTTCAATTAAATTCTCATTTTTTCATTGCTGAAAGTGGCTGAGACTCATTCTAAACCCAAGATATATTTTGCAGGATTGAAGAACAGTCCACTAAATTACTTTGGGTATTTAACACTTCGCCAGTGCTTATTTTAATGCCACTTGCCATAGAGTACTGACTTGGGTTAGGAAAAAACATCTAAACTGAAGACTAAGCATAGTGTTTGCAATCATAAGACCACAGTAAAAATTA